TGGAGGGTGCGCGGAGCTCGTTCGCCCCACAGTCCAGTCGTCTTCGTGCAATAATGATCGTCGGAAAGCGCATATCGGCCTCGAGCACGGCCAAAGGAAACGCATAAATCCAGAGTATTCCTCCTCCTTTGAAAGGTTTGTAATCTCCTTTCGACATCGAAACTCGTTTCTTCGTATTGCATAGCAGATGCGAGCTTTTCCAGATGCCATTTCGCGTACACTTCCCGCCCTCCATCTTGCCATGCTATCTAGGGCATGGAGGGCAAGACGAACGAAAATAATGAGATTAATTCGTTAAGCAAACGCGTTGACGACACCATTCGCCTCCCTCAGCCACGTGTGGACGGCAACGTTCTTTTTTCTATTTTATTCCATTCGTTGTTTCTAAGCCTACGATTCGAAATACAGCTGGACGATGAAAAAGAAATGGATCTACAAGTTTTTCTTCTTTAAATGTAGACACGAGTGCTTTAAGATATATTAGTTCAGTATGGTAATACGAGAGTGAGAGCTTTTTATTGTGTAACGATGTGAAATACTTTTGGGTCACGGAGTTTTTGTTTGAATAACAAAGAAAAGAGTTTCCGGTGTGTTGATGGCCTTTTTTGTAAGATCCTACGTAGACCTACTTATAAAAACAGAATTTCCAAATATTTTTCCATCGGTTTGTAGATAATTTTATAAAACTGAAAAAGAAACTCAAGTATTCGTAACATTGCGGTAAAGTATACATATCCATTCAATCGAGAATCGAAAGCTCCTCCACCAAAATCAATCGATAAATCCGAGCTACTCACGAGAGCTGTCCAAGAGAGCTAACTCTCCTGATTCAAAGCTGTTAATAAAGGAAAGAAGAACGGTTTCGTCGTGGTACGTGACAGATCAGTTCTCATCTCCGCAAACAGGAATTAGAGCCATCGCGTTAACTTCCAAAGCAATCCAGTCGTCCGTGACGACCCACCCCAAGTCATCGTGACTCGGATTCTTTCGACCAGCGTAGCAAACAACGACGAACGAATGACACCTGAGCGTGGCTGACTCCGTATTTTTTTTACAGCCTGTCGACACAGATTATGATAATGCTCGTTCTCTCCTCGTTCCGTTTGATCGGCGAGGGAGAGAGAACGTTCTAGGGTGGATTCCCGGCACGAGACAGCCGAAAAACAGGGTTGGTGGCACCCGGTGAGTCATGCTTCATCCCCCACAACGTGGAAGCACAGGATGAGAGGGTGAGCAGCCACGGTGACTGGTCGCCAACATCCCCCCGGTATTCTGCCTGCAGCGCCGCACTGCCTATGAGTTCCCTCTTTGCGATTGAAATTATATTTCCCTCCATCTCCGGGCATTCGCGTTCGATGCTGTCATACTACCTCGTTTCGCTTTCGTGGAAATCGCTTTAACTACCAACTCCCCGGTCTGAGTACGGATTGTAATCGTACTCGACGTTTGATGTTTCGACGAGCAGATTTTTGGGTTTGTTGAAGTTTGTTGGAGTTGATACAATTGGGAGAATATCGTAAATACGTGGAATATGATGTTTCTCAGCAATAGTAAGAGATGTTCGATACACAACTGTACGCCGATTATGATCATACTCAACGTTTGATGTTTCGGTCAGATTATTAAAGTTCGTCGATGTTCGAACAGAAAATTAATTATAATAGAACATAGTGCTTGCCGGGAGTAGCGATAGATTTCCACTCTGGCATGTTAATAGCCTCGTTTATTTTCTATATACACGTTTTTCCTTTTTCTACGGTAATATATCCCAACGAGTAGACATCCTCGGGAAACCGCCCACGATAGACCGTCAAAAAGTCGTCTTCGTGCGGCATTGTCCGTGTAACGAGTAGGAAAAAAGGGAAACACGAGATAGCGGGTAATCACGCGACACCGCATGATTTACCGAGACAAGGAGTGCGGCAAGGCGGCGCAATTCATAAATTATACCAATTCCGCGGAGCGATCGTTCACGATCGACGGGGAAAAAACGACGTGGCGAGCTATAAATCTCGTGGTGTAATTTGCGGACGGAAGAGTGTTCGAGAGGAACGCGTGTCTCTCGAAGCGCGTCACGAAGAGGATCGATCGTGTGTGTCCACCTTTTCCTTCGATTTTGACTAACAAATTTTCGAGGGCGAGTTTAGGCGGCCCTCGGCCGTGCAGCTGGCGCTGAATCATCCTTGGCCCTTTGGTCTGGAAGCACGACGTTGCCAAGGTTTCGAAGCGGCTTCCAGCGACTTTTATCGTTTCCTCTTATCGAGCTCGGGTCTAGGAAGAAAAAACGAGCCCGTGCCCGTCTCTGATACTGAACAGAGGCTACCAGAGCTCACGTGACTTCCGTCTTTCGCCGGTACGCTGCTGTGATAACCGCGACGTCGCTGATCCTCGTTCGATGTATTCGCCGCGTGGCCACGAGCGTTCACCAAAACACGAAACAGATAACGAACACGGTTTACATGGGTAATTAGCCTAATCTGTAACACGATTTTTTTTCACTGCTGGTTTGCAGCGAGCTCGATCGTTAAGTACGAGGAACGGAAGCGTGAAGAATGTTTCGGTGAAGGAGATTGGATGGTTGAATGTTGCGATTTAATAATGTGTTAGATCGAGTCCATCGTAATATGTTCCACGCATTGCTGTTTTATTCGTTACTCATCTCGTTTCCAACAAAACAAATCTACATATTCATCTATTTATATTTTCATTACACTGCTTACGTTACTCCGAATCATCCTCTCTATCAATCGAGCTCAACCTCGCTTAATTACCACATATTTTCTAACCACAAAGGAAGCTTTCCACATACGACAACGAGTATTACAATTGACAAATTAAGAACGATGTATCAGAATCAGAAAACGGCGATTACATCATGAAAAATATTTCACGAAACAGCGAAGCACAGCGCCTTAAACCAGAAACACAGCTGCAAACGCGAAATCGCTACATTACCTCCCACGCTTTATGCAGATACCGCTCGACTCTCCAATTTCCCCTCTCCCTTTGCGCAACACACGACAGACCTTATTGATCGCAACGTTTCAAGCACATTACGATCAAACTATCGATCTTTCGTGAGCGCGTTAAATGTTTATATCGCGGCCACGCATTATTAAGCCGTGCGTACAACAGTCGCCTGGCCCCGTGCTCCATCGAGCCTGGGGCTTCAGCACCGTAATTCAAGCAGCCACTTCAGAGGCAACAGAACGGCCGCAACAATGCCCGTAACTGTAGATTCGAGGTAACTTTACACTCGAGTCCATTTTCTCGTTGCCCACTTAAACTCGTCGCAACGTTCGCGCCCTGTCGGTCGTAGGAAAGGGTTCGTGACACGTGTTCGAATTTCCCTTAACGGCCATTGCACGCTTATGCTGTTCGACCACCCCGCGTACCAATTACCCGGAGGTAACTCGAGATACCATTACTCCATCGATGCAACGAAATCGCGACGCTCCTCCGTGAGGGTATCGTTAGGGAAATCGAGGAATCTAACAGGGACTTTGCACGCAAACGAAACACGGTTGCACGTGATTGTTGGTGCAGATTCGGTTGAAGATCCGATGGTGACACACGATAGTCTCGCTACGAAAGTTTAAAATAAACCATCCACAGTCTTCTGATAGTAAATGATCGTAAATATGGAGTACAAACTGGTATGAGAATATAGGTGATGAAGAGTCTGCACGAATGTTGAAGATGGAATTTTAAACGAGTTCTGGAGTTGCACGATAAAAGCACGAAGAAGATCGAATCACTCGATTTAATAAACATCAAATTTAAAATTTCTTCTTAGCACGTAACCGTAATTTCTAAATTTGAAATTTCATTCTAAAATGGACAACGTAAATTCAATTTTCCAAAGAAAAACCATCCTTGGTACGAAATATTCTCCTCGAAAGAAGAGAAGATAGTATGAAATAAGATAACGCGTAACGAACGAATCAACATTTTGCTTCCATTGAAATATTACATTCTAACAGTAGTACTTCTTCGTGCCATTCCAGAACTTTCAGATAGATCCATCAAGCGTTTAAAAGCAACGAGAGAGAAGACCTTCCTCCGCTCCAACTTCACCGCTAAAATCATAACAATTACGGCGCTGCTCGCCGGAAGGAAGCGTCGTAATAACTTCTTACTTCGCGCAGCCTCGTAAAGATTAAAAAGGGGCGCGGAGGGAAGGGTCAAGGTGAGATAAAGCAAAATTAATGGCAGACCTAAATCCCTGCCCGATGGATCTCCGCGAGTTTGCCTCACGGCTGCAAGAAAGAAGCTCGCTGAATTTACGTGGCTGTGAGCCAATGTAACGCGCGCAACGTTGATTTCAATTACTACCTGTCGAAAATTCCCGATAATTTTTAGGAGATTGGCGACGATCGTTGCATGAAATATGATCGAGCTAGCTATACGAACATAAAGTGCACAGAATTTCTGACTATCGACGTCTAATATTGAAATACTAGAAAGTGTGCTGCTTTTTCACGTTCCTGCAAAGTTCCATCGAGATCGATGAGTAACGTCGGTGTTGCCCTCACACGTTGCTCGATAGGAACGAGATCGGCGTGAAGATCGGAGCGAACTTTCGAAACGTTCCTCGTGCGTGGCGACGCGTTAAATTAACACGCAGACTTTTCCATTAATAAAAGAGACCGCGTGTATGGTGACACGCGTCTCGAACGTGACAAACCATACGCGGTTACGTAATCGAAAATTGACGATTTTTACGACGAACGCCGTGGACCGGTTTTCATCGCGCTAGTCCACTCCAACACACGAGCTTTTAATTATTCCTAGATTCAAAACTGCTATATTTTGTCTCTGTTCGTCGAATACTATGAGAAAATACGAAATAGTGTATAAAATATAGGGGCGCGTGAAAACGAAATTTAGCTAAAATATATTCGACGAATCAATTTCTCAAGGCTTAAATTTACAAATAAAGGAGTTTGTATCTCGATAAACGAACAGCGTGAGTGGCAATTGCCACGCGAATCACGTACCATGCCCTCGTCTATCGAGGTGTCTTCCTCGAAGTAGCACTCGTCAGGTTCATCCGGTGTCAGAGCGGTAGGAGTTTCCGGTGACTCCTCCTTAATGTCCTGTCTCCTCATCCAGTCCATCTTCAAGACTTTTGAGCCTTCGGAGACCAGACCAGTTGATGCTTCTTCTCGATTCTATTCCTTACTCGTATCCAACACAAGATCACATGTCTCTTCTCGAATTCGATCTTGTAGCACGAGATTAATGAAAACAACCGGCCGGATTCGTATGTCGAAATGGGAAACACTGAAACGAACTACAACGACCGTTTTCCTTATCGTTTATCACGAACCACGCTCCGATTACGCGGAAGCCGCTCCGCCAGCGACTGTCACTGACATTTGCCAAATGTCAAAGCTTTTCGTGCCGACTATGTAATATATCCGTGACGCTAACGAGGTGTCGGGCTTCTCTCGTTGATCGAAGCTCCGATATACCGTGCGCACCGGGACCACGGATGCACACGTGCACCAATCGTGTATGCCCCGATAAAGATGAACTCTAAAAAACTTATTCACTGTACGTTTCACTGTACGATGCGGTAAAATGATTTTGTCAGAAGAGTATAAAAACGATTTAGAAAAAAAGAGAATCTTCGTAAGGAAGTTTTCCGAAGTTGCGAAAAAAACGTTGACACGATAATCCGATTGAGAGAAAACGATCCTTCTCGTACGATAGTCACGAGTCAAACTGATCGACTAGATCTTTCAACATGAGGCTCTCTTATCGAGAGGAAAAACTCACACGCTATACGGCTCGATATCCAGAAGAGAACGCGTCGTTAATACACAGAGCGTACCGGCGAACCAAGAGATGATTGCGAGCGAGAGACGGACGCGCGCGCAGTCTCGCATGTGCACACGAGCGAGCCACGGCGGCGGTGCAGCTGCAACTGTGTGTGCAGGCCGGGAATGCTGGAGGTGGTATGGAGGCGGCTTGGTGGGCGCACTCTGTCTCGTCTCTGCTGCTGCCAGCCTTTTCTCGCTCTGTTTTACCTAGACGTGCCTTGTCTGTTCTCTCCCTCTCTTTTCGACTGCTACTAAACTTTCTCTCTCGTATCCGTGAAAGCCCCATGCGTCGTTCACTCTCGCTCTTTTCGGTGAATCATCCGTCTCTCTTATGCTTTTCACCTTTTCGTTCCCTCTACCACTCGTCCTTCTTTCCCGGTCGCTCATAGTCACATCATATTTTCCGTCCCTCTCCGATGATTCGTCAGACCTAACGTCTATCTCTCTCTCTCTCTCTCGTTCGAGCCTCTTTCTCCGTTTAATTTCTTCTTTCTCCTCCTCGTAGTTTCGTCATCCCGTCTCGGTTCCACTCTAGAGCGTTCCGTGCACCTCTAGCGCCCTCTCTGCTCTCTATACGTTCTATGCCGCTGCTTTTGCGCCATCTTCCTCCCACTCTTTGTTGGCCTCGCGTTTTCCTTCTCCGTTTCGTTCGTTTCTGTTTCTTTGGTAACTCTCGACCCCTTCGTCTCTCTCCCTCTGTCCTTCGTTTACCAGCCTCGTCGTATATATTATACCGCGACCACGCTGTCCTCTATATTTCGTACAGCTTCCCTCCTCGCTCCAGCACCACTCTATTTCCCCCGTCTATCCCGACTTCCTCTTTTCTTCTACCGCTATACTCCCGCGTTTCTGTTTGACCTCCCTTTCCGTCACTACGTTTTCCATCCTCTTTCACCGTGGCTTTTCCTTTCCAGTGGCTGCACGAAAAACGTCAACTATATTCCGTAGCTGGACAGAGGCGAAGAAAGGAGGAAAGAAGACGCGTAACGAGGGTGGCCAGGAATAATTTTTTCTCTTTCTCTTTCGTTTTTTAGCCTGTGCACACCGTCTCTGTTCAAGAGCAGCATCCCTGTTCCGTTTCTCTTCCTCTTTCTCATGTCCTTCATCCTCCCCCACCAGGAACTGTCTGTCTCTCTTCAACTCGGTCCTTTCCTCCCTCTCCGCAGTTCCATGACCCCTTCCATTTCGTGTGGAGTCGCTACGAGCTACGAGTTCAGGGACGATCCGTTTTCAGTCGAGACCCTGGATCTAACGCCCCGAGGGATACCAGAAATAGCGACTTTCTTCTAGCGCCGGGGATTTCATTTTTTTATGCTTTGGTCGCACGGGATCCACGATATAGATTCGTACAGAGAAACAAATTGCCGATAAGGAAGAATTGTTCGCGAGAAACCACCACTCTAGCTCGATATGGGTGACATTATTTATGAGATACAGATGTAGCAACAATCTTATGGAAGAGGTAAGATCGGATGTTGGAATTCGTCCAGATTATTAGCTCCTAGGTTGATGTAAATGAAGCTTTTGTTTAGTGAACGAAAGCATTCCTTAGCTCAGTAACGAAGAGCAGGATTGGTAACGAAATTATTAATTTGGATAAAAATTCTATGTAATGTTTATTAACGCGATCACCGATTGAAATTTTACATAAAAAATCTGTCAGTACATAAAATTAACGATTTAGCATAGAATGTACGATATTTCAAATTGTAATAAATCTCAGTAAAAATTTATTATATATGGTATTACATTAAAGCGTTTGGAAAATATGAAATTACCATTCGAGAAGTGTAAATAAATAGCAATTCTACAGGAAAACCACTCTAGAGTAATAAAATAGAGTAATCAACAGCGATTAGAATAATCGATATTCCGGACCACCCCATGAATTCGCGAAATATTACGTAAGCCATGTAAATCACGCATCGCTGAATCGCAATGGACCGCGGTACATCCCTGAACTAGGTACCATCGAGAAAGAAAGAGGGACGATGAAAATGGCAAGTATGCCACGGTAGGAACGAGGAGAAGAACAAACCCGATGCTAGGGCACTTGAAGAAGCGAAATACCCTAGAAAAAGATGGACATAATTCACAGGACGAAGATTGACCCTCAGTATCGTAACTAGGAAATGCATACGAAAAAAAGTAGCTATATTTTCGCACATTTATTCTTGATTAATGTATAATACTACTATGTAGTTTTTATCTATTACTCGATAAATACAGATTTGTTACATAGTTAACAAATAACCACCGACTTTATGTATATCATTATACAATCTCTTTATGCGATATTGTCAAAAAATTAATAAAATCAACCGCAAATTTTCCAATTACGTTGAACAAAACATTTACTAACCTCTACTACGTTTTAGTTCCAAATTTTATGTATCTTCAATCACTCGAAGCACGAACAAATTCTCGATTAGCTTCGGTTACCCAAACTTTCGAAAGAACTTTCGTCTAATCGAATAAGACAATTCTCTTGTAAAAGTTTTCTTGTATAAAATATCGCTCTTGTACAAAAGATAAGAATACAACATAGAAATAACACAAAATGGTGATAAAATAGACGAAACGAAAGGACAGACGCGCAGCGCCTCCAGTTAAGACGGCACTGGGCCGAACCACGAGAGAAAGGGACAGACACAGGGAGAGACACGTGATGCTGGAACGTGTGTTAGTCATGGG